CCACCTGACCCGATGTTGCATCTTCAGCTACAACAGCACCAGTGTTTCAGAGTAAGTTGCCAGAGACTTTTTGGGAGCAAACATGGAATAATCCCATATAAAATCCTCCTCCTAGCAAGATCTATTTGAACTCTACAGTTTTATGTACCTTCTAAAAATTTATTTAGTTGGTATTTACTGCAAATCAAGTTATTTATATAAATGGTTTAGCACTTTGACTCCTGGCTTCTTTCACGGTCTAAATAGCCAATGTACTTAAGACAATCAGTTCCCAGTTTTTCATTCTAGCAGTTGAGATGTTCTGCTACATGACATTATCGCATCCAATATTTTCCCAGATATGAAAAATGCAGAAAATATTTTTATTCACACCTGTAGATCAAAAAAAAAAAAATCCCCTTTGTTGCTTTGGTCTCTTACCCAGCTTCGATACATGTAAGCACACACCACTCAACACTGGATTCAGATGCTCTTTTTAGAGAAAATGATGACTGACCACAAGGAAAGGTCTTCTGTGTCTATGTAGTGTTCCTCTGGTCCTCAGGTTTAGCATCAGCATATCAAATGGAGTAGTCCCCTGGTGTTCCTCAATATATGACAGCAGCATACAAATTGAAAAGGCAAAGATCTTATGGCGCCAGGGAACACCATTCTGCTACTCCTCTGACAGCAACAAGGCAGTCTGATGAATAGCTTAAACCTCCAGGAACAGCCTATATGGGCTCTCCTTGCCTGACCTTAGGAAGTGCCTCCCCTCTACCAAATGGGCAGAGAAGCAAGAAGAAATCCCTTGGATTAGTGACATCTATGGCTCTTATTTCAGCCATGCTTCTTGTTCATAAGGCACCTTGTGATAAATCCTCTGTAGAGTGGCTTTAGTAGGTGTAGGGAGACAAGAAGGTAGAAGTAGTGGGGATAAAAGCAGACTCATTTAGAGATTCATTCTCTACCCTAATTCCCCAGAAGAATGAATAAGTCTTCCGGCAACTAGACACACAAGGAGGTTCACCTCTAACCCAGCTCACCAGGTCCAGCACACGATAACTGACCATAGATGAAGGTTACACGCACACATGCTTACGAGGAGACAAGCACACAGGGTAGAGCCAAAAAGAAAGGCCTGTGGCTGTCTTTGAGACTCGGTTGCATAGTAACTCAACTTTCTTCTTCGCACCTGAGGTCAGACAACTAAGCTCACTCTTCTTACGCATTTTCAGTTTACCTGTTCATGTAAATGGCTCATTACCAGTCCTAATCTATTTAACTATTATATGGGTCCCAAGCATGAATTTGCAACTAGCTTTTGTCTGACACCAGTAAACTTTCATAAGAATCTATTACAGACCTCCAAAGAGTTTGTGAGTAAATTGAATCAGTACAAGTGGTCCTTGATGTCCTTGATTTGAGCAATTTTAACTCTGGCCACAGTAAACCAAATAAATGTTAAACTCCTGCTGCTACATCACACCCAAGGGACAGGAGGGAAAAAAAAAAAAAAGACAACAATGGAGAGCTTATGCTCTTCTCTGACATAAAAAAAAATGCCCAACAGCTTGTTAACATTATTATAAATAAACAACTATACAAGCTAATTTTTTATACAAAGTCCTGCACTACAGGACTGTCATATCTCTGGCTGAACATGTGGATCTTACTTCTAGATCTAAATTATGTTCAAAACAAAATGGAAATCAATTTTTTGCTTTCACAAAAGTAAACCCGAAATTAAAAAAAAGCTTCTTCCTTCATTTAGCTTTTTGATTTTCTAGACAGAATTTACAGGAAGAAGCAGCACATTTGAAAAGGCTTCCTTCCCCAGAAACAGAAAAGGAATTTTCCCTTGACACGGATTAATTTCCCCTCTCTGATGTGCAACTGCCTTTTAAATTCATTTTTCTTTCTAGACCCAAGGTCTCATTCCAAAGGTCTCCAATTAAAATAAGGGTTTCCATCACTGCCTCAGCCAGATAGCAGGACTGGCTACAATCCAGGAGATACATCAAACAGGACACATGAGAAATAAGATTACTACTTTGAAACAAATATAGGTTTGATTTTGCATGGGAATGGCTGCCGCTAATTACCAGCCACACAGCCACGCTATTGGATTTATCAGAAAGTGAATAAAGACTATATGTTCTTCCAAAGAGAAGTTGTCACTTGGATAATGCTATCTGAATACCTAAGCAACAACATACTCATGTAAAGTGGAAATTTAAAACAAAACCAAACCCCAAAAAAAACCAAAAAGTGGGATTATCCTGTAACTGTGAAGCTTTTGTTTCCTGAAGATGAAATATTCTGTGCCTAAAACTATCTAGTGTTCATAAGAGATACCAGACACTTCTGGGAGCTTAAGCAGTGAAATAACACACCCCAAATGCCCTCGGCTCCACTGCAGCAGGCTGATCCATGGGCACACTCCATTTGCAGAGCGGGCACGTGCCAATTGGGATGACATACCATATGCAATGCTGCTGTCGGGCTTAAATCAATGAGATGTGCACAGTTCCAAACAAGTGACTTCAGCCTTATGAAACGTTGGTCCATACTTCAGAAAGCTAGAACTGAGCAGGATTACCATCTACTGTGCAACTTAACTAAAACCACTAATGAGTGGCTTGAAAACTGGCACGTATTACTTACGTGTGAGTGAGTGATTACACTGGTTGTGAGGCAGGCCTTATTAACTCCATACAACAGGACAACACGTATTTCAAACCTTAATATGAGCAACAGACGGACAGGAATGGGAAGTAGCTGCGAGTTAGCAACAGGGAGACCACACCATAAGGGAAACCTTTTTTTAGTGAACCGTTTAGTGAACTGAGCCAGCAGTAAACCATGCAACTGAGGATCAATAATTCTTAAATATCTAATGTACATACAGATTAGAGTTCCCTGCATCGTAAATAAATCCTAATCAGAAATTGGAGTGTGTGCCAGAGAATGCACCATGCGTTAACCAGCAAGTGCACACAGGGTTCTGTGGGTCTCACAGCAAAGGACCAAAGACAGCCATTGAGTGGGGCAGTGGTCAGACTGAAGGGTCTTTTCCATCTTCTTCTGTTTAGTGTCTAGGAACTTGATAGACAAAGGATGAAAAGAACAACCAGGAAAGCACCTTACCCAAGTTGCTGAGGCCCGATTCAGGTGCTGTACAAAGGCCACAGGATGGTCCCTCATCTCCTCCAAGAGAGGCTAAAGGAAGCAATAGTCCTCCCCAAGCTGCTAAATGAAAGACCATCTTACTCTGACAGGTACCAAGCCCTACTCTTCTGTCTCCCTGCAAGGTTGTCCTGTGGTTGCTTCTGCTTGAATAAGGCAGCTTTGCAGTTCTCCCCCTGCCCAGGCACACGCTCACTCCCCCTTTTGAGAAAGGTAGCTGTTTTCTCACCATCTCAGGGCCCAAAGCACCAACAACTCTGCTGCTTACCCTGACCAACTCCGCTCCCTGCCTGCTCACCCAGAAAGCCACTATGCTCCAACCAGTGTTCTCTGCATTTCCACTCCCCTTGCTCCCAGCTGTAGGCTGAATGCTCTCTCTTACTGTTTTGACCAACTAAGTGCTCTGGGGCAGCGAATAAGTAAGCAGATAGCTAAAAGAAGACCTTGAATATGGAGCAAATTGCACAGCGTTACAACATAGCCTTAACAGGAAATTAAAAACTCCTACGAGAGTGAAATCTTTGGCTTTAGCTACCCCAAAATAATTTTGCCCATCATTCCCTCTCAATAGAAGGAAAGGGCCAAGCAGAGGTGCTTTACCTGCTGGATTTAAAAATAAAACTCAGAACTCTACTACAATCACCATGCAAACAGCCATTTTTTGTCTCTGCAGAGGTATCAAAATGTAAATACAGTAGTATTCTTAGAAAAGAGAATGATTTCAAGTTAAAAGTATTAAAATAAACAACAGTTACAGATAAACATGATTTAAAATTCATCTCTGAAGGATTAACTTAATCCCTGTTCAACTGTGCCACTGCTCGAGGAGAAGGTGATCACAAATGCCATCACTAGTCACCAAAACACCCAAGCAACTCCATCCCTTACCATGTGGCCAGGGTTAGCAACGGCCTCGCTGGTTCTGGTTCACCAAAAGGATTGGTTAAATCCTGCTCCTTTCTGAGCAGAGACATTATTTTCTAACAATACCTTTGCAATAGCAGCTGACAAGCTACACTTCTCCTGGGAGCCTTTTCCTTGCTACATATGGTATTATCCAGCTGGCAGCTATACCAGTGAACCGACATGCTGCTACTGAGAAACATTTCCTGTATATTTATTGGTTGTACTCCAACCTTTGCATGTTTATTCAGTACAGCAGTAAGTAACTTCTTCTGCTTCACATCTGGAGCACCGAAAAAAAAATTTTGGTGGTCACTGAAGTTTTAATTGTCTACATATCCCTACAGTCAACATGTATAACATCCAATTCTTAATCTGCAGGAAAACCTCCGTATGGACTTGTAGATGTTCACCCTCCCCCACCCCCTGTTCAAACACATGCCACGGGGCCGCCTGCTGTAGCCTGGCCCAGCCACTGCCACACGGGCTGCCGCTAGCCAGCGGCACCCCACTCCCACGAACAAAGGAGGCATTGGCTGCTGGTGACATGACTTGGTGGCAGGTGAGGAGGTTACCTGTGGCTTGGTGACAAGCCAGCTGTGCTTTTGGCTCACTGCAGCTGGCAGCTGCCCTCTAGTGATGCAGATGCAGAAGAGTCATAGAAGTTATTCACAAAACAGTAACAGATCAAGAATATTTTCACTGCAGCTCTTACCAGCGCGACAGGTCAAAACCCCGAGCACCTGAACCTGGCCTCCGGGCATTCACCAGCTGTGAGGTCAAGGCCCAGCCCAATGCCTGCTCAGAGCAGACCTCCCGAAGCTTTACAGGAAGAGCAGGTGCCTGTGGACAGCCCAGCAGTCACAACTACCCTTCTCCACTGGGACAGCAGGCAAGGAGGGTGTGGGAGAAACCAGTTAAGTGTCTGAAGAGGAGCCAGCAGAATTGTGCCTTGGTTCTGTCACACAGCAGTGCCCATCAGGCGGTACCAGGGCTGGGTGGCAGCCTGCTACACTCACTGTTACCTGCCTGCCACCCCTGCCCCTTCGCGTTTCTTCAGCTGGTGTAGTAGACGTGAAAGAAGAGAGTCTTATTGCGGAGAAGAGAGTACGAGTTATCAAATTTCAGCAGGTAGATGCCCTCGCCTGGGTACTCGTGGCTGCCTGCCTGCACCTCCCGATGGCTGTTCCGTCGATACACTGGCATGATTTCTCCGTAGCGGTTCCGCAGATAGCTTTTGGAGCCCCTTTCCACATCACCGACTGGGGCGAGTCCTGAATGGGAGAGAGGAGACAAGTAAGTAGGCCAGAGCCAGTGAAGCCATTAGGTAGTCCAGAAAAAGACTAACAAGACCAGAATGCTGCAGAGGCATGCAGATCTACGGAAGGATAACTACGATAACATTACCCACAGCGCCTGCTCGGGCCTTTCTGCAAATACTACCCACAAAGTCCAGCTTTCCTTATCACGACAAAGGACGTGCCAAGAACCAGTTCTCTTGGGAATACTGATGGGGACAGCATCCACTTGCCTGCCAGCCTGGTCCCCTCTCCCTGGACTTACCTTTTAGACAACTCGCTGCATTTATACACACAACAGGATATATAATTATATCTGATCTTTATCCATATCTGATATAGTCTTGAGGCAAAAGAGAAGCAGGAAAGCTCTTAGCTATAACCTCACTGTGTTTATGTCCTCAATTCACTTCTCAGAGAGGATTCCTCACGCAGGAACCTACTCCTCTTTGGAGGACCTTCAAAATTAATTTCAGACACCAAGCCCCCAGCTACACTGGTCACACATACACTGAAGCCAGAAAACAGGTGAGACACACCGTACTGTTGTAAGTACAGACACAGACAGTGTCTCAATGCAGTCAGCAGGAGCTACTGATATACTAGGGAAAAAAACCCCAAAGACCCAGAAGCAACACCTTTTTACTCCTACTCACCACCAGAAATTTCTCAGGCTGAGAGGCTAAGCAAAAGCCAAAATTTCAGACCCTAATCTTTTTACCAGCTAGATGCTGAACAAGTGAACTCTGAGTTTATTTTATAATGTGTGCAATTTTAAGAATGTCTTGGAGAAGGACAGCCATTGACATGCTGAAGCAGGAAGGGCTAATTGCTTTCTCATCACAGCCTAACCAAGAACCCAAAAGGCTGCAGAGATAACAAGTGGGCTGAGTAAACAAAGCAGATGGAAAGTACAGCATCAGACCATCTCAGCGGCATGGCAGCAAGCACCACAAATTAACCCTTATAAGCTCTGCACTAACCTTCAATTTCCTCCTCCTCCTCTTCATCCTCTTCATCACTGGATTCACTGACCTGAACAGTAATGGCAGTGCTAGTAACTGTGGTCCAGTCAAAATAGACTCCAAACCCAATGTCGTAGTCATCTGTAGCAAACTCCCAGCAAATGCATTTCCCATCAGGATGGGTTGGCACGCGGACCGTCACCACCTCGCCTCGCTTCACCACCATCCGGCCATTCTTCTCCTTTCCTATCTTGGCTTTGAATTCCTTCGTCTTCTCAGTGGTCCACATGGTGGGTGGAGCCAGAGGGGGAGGCTGAGCTGAGACAAGGGAAAAGATGGAGGGCTCGCCTGACTTTTCACTACTGACAAGCTGTTATCTGAAAATAGCAAAGCTATTTCTGATAAGGCTTTTGCATTCTGGAGCTAACTCCCAAAAGCCTTGAATATGAAGAATTCCCACTTGCTAGTCAGG